ATACGCGAACGGGCTGGTTCGCCCTCGCGTCCTCATGACGCCGCCATCCCATGGTTCAGGGCTTGGTGGAGGAATAGACGAACGGCTTGCTGATGTCAGCCCCTTCACCATCCGTAAGGAAATCGATGACTTCTTGTCTACCAGACTGAGTGTCCTATGACACATTCGCGATGCGATTGCTGAAAGCCAAGACCTGCAGAAAGAAAATGCAGATGAAAAAGGAAGATGCAAAGTAGAAAGCTTTTAGGTCAGAGCCCAACCTCCATTTCTAATGGTGTCAAGCGCACCACCGTCGCATGCAGCGACGCATTCGCCTGCTCCACGGCTGGGAGTCGCTTCGACAAAGCGCGGTAGTCCTCAAGCTGAGGCAGCCGGCGCACGACGGGCTTTAAATTGTCAAGAGCGTCCGCACAGCGATATGCTACTTCAGCATGACACTCAGCGAAGCTCCGATCACGAAGGATCTTGTCCTCAAGGGCTCGAAGAGCATCACGAGTCACCGGACGGCGGTCGACCCGGTTGTCACCGCCCGCCACCGACTCTTCTGATGAGAACGGTGACGTCCACTATCACGTGGAACGTCTAGTGAGATGACGTCGTCACCAGGGTCAAACCCAATGTCTAGTGAAAAGGCGGGGATATCCCGACTCCGATAAATCGTGGAATTTTGAGACGCCACTTCGTCAAGATTGCCCATACGCCGTGGACGCTTTTGATCAGAAAGATCATGACGCCCTGCGCTTTCCGGCAATAGCCAGGGAAGTAGAAGGGTCGCGAGCTGAGCTCAAGCAGTGGCCTTGAGATCTTGCGGTCGTAGACACAGAGCTCGCGGGAGCGTTAGGGGTTAACCCATACGTCGCAGGGCGACAATCGGAAGGAAGTCGACGGCGTGCCTTGGATTTGGCAAATTGCGGCTCAACTGTAAGTTATGTAGTTTCCGGTGCCGTTGCACCCATCGTTCAAAGATCACTTCGTCATCTGTAGCGCTTTCGCCAGGGGCGAGCACTACAGGTATCGTCCGCATTGCGGGTGCAAGAAAGCCACCTCGTTGAGCATGTAGACGAGTGCGATAAACTTCCAGCGGAAATTCTAGTGGAACCACGAAGCGAGCTCGAAGAGCTTTCCGTTTGTCAAGCTCATCTTCCGTAATGGCCGGGGGCCCGATGATGTGGAGGCGTAACGATCGAGCTACCACGTCCTTCGCTTCCACAGCGGGTCCGCCGGGCGGAAGCCATATT